AACCCCCCCCCCCCACCCCTCCGACTCCTCTTTATGTGCTGTTAAGTGTATTTTATTATTTTTAAGTTCAATTATTAGACAAAGCTGTATACAGGGCACAGGTGGCCCCTCTCATGTAGTGGTTTGATATTGGAATCACTTAGTTCCCATACTTACCTCTTTAGTTCCCATACCCCCATCTTTAGTTCCCGTATTTCTCTTATTAGTTCCCATGCTCACTCCTTAGTTCCCATACTCACCTCTTTAGTTCCCATACTCACCTCTTTAGTTCCCACACTCAACTCTTTAGTTCCTATGCTTACTCTTTAGTTCCCATACTCACCTCTTTAGTTCCCATACTCACTCCTTAGTTCCCATAATTACCCTTAGTTCTCATACTCCCCTCTTTAGTTCCCATACTCACTCCTTAGTTCCTATACTCACCTCGTTAGTTCCCATACTCATTAGCTCCAAACTCTTCTGTTCAGTTCCAAACTCTACTGTTTAGCTACAAACTCTACTGTTCAGCTCCAAACTCTACTGTTCAGCTTCAAACTCTACTGTTCAGCTCCAAACTCTACTGTTCAGCTCCAAACTCGTTTAACTCCAATCTCTACTGTTCAGCTCCAAACTCTACTGTTCAGCTCCAAACTCTACTGTTCAGCTCCAAACACCTCTGTTCAGCTAAAGCAGTATCTCCCATATTTTCCTGAGTAGTTTCAACGTACTAATAGAGAGGAAGGTAATAAGTAAAAGGGTTTCTTATCTAACATTTCAAATCTAAGTTTTATATTTGAAGAATAATAAAATGAGAGCTTATCTAATCAGTATCTATCTATCAATGTATTTGTTTGTATGACTGCATAAAGGCATGTGCCTTCAATGCAGAATATACAGTTTACAAGGCCAACCAATTAGATTTTATCATTATAAATATATCAAATTAATTTTTAGAACTTTTAGAACTTGCTTTCTTAAACCTATTTTTTGTCTCTGCTCTCTTTTTCCGATTTTTCTCTATCTATCTAATTATCTATCTATCTATCTATATATCTATATATCTGCCTATTTATCTATCTATCTATCTATCTATCTATCTATCTATCTATATATCTATCTATCTTTCTATCTATCTATCTATCTACCTATCTATCTATATATCTATCTATCTATCTTTTGTCCAAGGATATTAAATAGATGAGGATAATCAAAGTGTACCCAACCACCATCTTGCAGGACCCGGGGTCTTCAATATTATTTCATTCAAATAAAGGGTTGGAATTAATTGATTTGATTAGTACGCTGAACCGTTGAAAAACCCGCTCAATCCGATTCATGCTTTCAGCTGTAGGTTCTTTTTAATATTATTCTGAACTTCTTCAAACAACTTTGACAAGTTATTGAAATAAAGGGAATGTAAATATAGTTTGATGTGACCCTGCGATTATATTCCCATAAACGATTTATTTTATATAATATACCCCCTCAACACATTTATTTGAGACACTATGTTTTCGTCGTGAATTTTATCCATTTTCATCCTGGTTCGTTCTAAAACATCCAGGTCTTTTCCATTAGACTCTTTGAACTCAGTTTATTAAATCTGGTGTGAATATTTTATTAAGCTTAGTAAATTAGCAAACTGACTGTTTTGAACATACTCAAATATTGATCTTGACCAGGTTTTGTGTTTGCTAATTTTATATATAACTATAGAGTTCAAGTGCAATAGCCAAAAATTTGTTTTACTTGTAACTATATTTTCATTGTACATTATGCAATTTGTTTATACTGCTAATTTTTATGTTTTTGTTGTTAATCGATTAAAACAAAATAAAATGTTTTGATTAAAATTCTAACTGGTCATAAACCTACCCATATATAGGAAATGTGTTTTACGTATATTATATGCAAGCAAACCAACAGAGCGAAATATAGATTTTCTAGTTTAAAAATTTCCTTCAGTTTCATTTTCTGTAGGTTTGCATTCTTATCAACTTTTTTTCGTTCATAACATTTCTTTCGTTTAAAAAACCAACTAGCTATGTCTATAAACTCCAATAAGCCATGAAAAAAAGAGTTGAGGTGGGGGGAAGGGGAGGTGGTGGGAAGGGGAAGGGGAGGTGAGGGGAGGGTTGGGGAGTTGAGTATGGGGGTTAACATTAGACATTGAGAGAGTAATTCCCTTGAGTAAGATAGAATTGAAGTATAAATTGAAGAGTATGGGTACTGGGGGCATATATTGCGGTTTTGGTTGGTTGGGGGGGGGGGTAAAAGGGTAGGGTTAAGGGGGAATTTGGAGTAGCATGATTAATAAGTCACACTCCTGGGGAGACTATAGAGTGTAGAGTGAAGATTATACAGTGTATAGAGCTGTATATATACCACCTGACATATATACAACCGTTATGCATATACACACACAGACACAGACACACCTCGAAGACATATTTAAAAATCTCCAATCCCAAAAAAAGTTTAATGTCTTTGTCTGAACTTTTTTTTTGTTTAGTCAAAAAGTTTCAGAAATAAAAAATTTGGATTTTTACTTAAACGAGAAAAATACTACAATGAGACCCACAAAAGTGTTTGTTTTTCTCAAGTTATGATTTGTAATTAGTCAAATGAACATTACCCAATACAACTGTGCAGTGTACACAGACCCATTTCACTGAATTAGTTGATTTTCAAGCTACTGCAGTAAAAATTATTTGCTTAAAAAATGACGTTACTTAACTTAATTCATTTCCGCATCTTTATATATATTTATCTATGATATTTGCTGATAAAAATTCATTAACGAGATATATCACGAACCACCCTGTATTCTGTATTGTTTATTAACGAGATATATCACGAACCACCCTGTATTCTGTACTTTTTATTAACGAGATATATTGATTAACCACCCTGTATTCTGTAATGTTTATTAACGAGATATATTGATGAACCACCCTGTATTCTGTACTGTTTAATAACGAGATATATTGATGAACCACCCTGTATTCTGTACTGTTTATTAACGAGATATATCACGAACCACCCTGTATTCTGTACTGTTTATTAATGAGATATATTGATGAACCACTCTGTATTCTGTACTGTTTATTAACGAGACATATTGATGAACCACCCTGTATTCTGTACTGTTTATTAACGAGATATATGTATTCTGTTCTGTTTATTAATGAGATATATTGATGAACCACCCTGTATTCTGTACTGTTAATTAACGAGATATATTGATGAACCACCCTGTATTCTGTACAGTTTATCCACAAGATATATTGATGAACCACCCTGTATTTCTATACTGTTTATTAATGAGATATATTGATGAACCACCCTGTATTCTTTACTGTTTTTAACGAGATATATTGATGAACCACCCTGTATTCTTTACTGTTTTTTAACGAGATATATAGATGAACCACCCTGTATTCTGTACTGTTTATTAACGAGATATATTGATGAACCACACTGTATTCTGTACCGTTTTTAACGAGATATATATATTCTGTACTGTTTATTAACGATATATATTGATGAACCACCCTGTATTCTTTACTGTTTTTTAACGAGATATATATTCTGCTCTGTTTATTAACGATATATATTGATGAACCACCCTGTATTCTTTACTTTTTATTAACAAGATATATCACGAACCACAGTGTATTCTGTACTGTTAATCAACGGAATATGTATATTCATGAACCACCCTGTATTCTATGCTAATCATTTACGGAGTATATTCATGAACCACCCTGTATTCTATGCTAATCATTTACGGAATATATTCATGAACCACCCTGTATTTTCCTCATAGGCCTCCTGCTGTTCAATAGTTAGTTATCAAATTTTTAAGAAACTAATTGGATGGATGGGATGGATGTAAATGATGAGATGGATGGGATGGAAGAAGGTTGGGATAGATGATAAAATGTCTGGTTTTGTACCACCCAGAGATTCCACTGGACAATACTCTTTATCATAGATATTTATTATCTTATCTTACTTCTCATTAAACATTCATTTCTCTCAAATTCTTTCTATTTTCAGATTTATTCTCATTGTTTTTATAATCTTATTTCTACATTTTGATTTAATTTATATCTGATATTTCTATAAGTCACTTTATTTCTATTTTTTTTACACATTTTTCAATAGATTTTCAGCTTCCAATATTTCTATTTTCCCTGTTTCTTTCAAGTTTCATTTTTTTATCTTTCCTGAGTTAGGATTCCAGAATATCCCACCCATAAAATCGTGGACATTAAACTATTCATGTGTTTATTTAATGCAAATAATTAAACCAGCAGCAGCTTGAAAATAAACTTTTTAAGTAGTGTGTGTACGCTACACAATATCTGTGTTTCTTTTTTATTGGACTATTTAAAATCATACCTTGATTATAACAGTCGTCGTAGAGATAACTAGAAAACTCTAAAATAGGAAGACGACAGTTAGACTCAAGCTCTGACTTTAAATAGTTTAATTGGCATGGGAAACAGCAATTGTGCAGTGTCTAGTAATACAATTGGCTTTGTAACAGCATCAAATACACTTTAGTATTGCTATAAAGTCGTCTTCCTAGTTCCGAGTTTTCTGGTTATCACTGAATTCAACAGTTTTTTGAGTCTTACTGTATTTTTAAGCTCAAAATGTGCTACTCCTTACTCTAACCACTTTGTCACAAAATTACAATAAAACATGGTTTAATATAAGATAGTATTACCTTTACAATATTTTGATATCCTGGATTTCTAGTGGTCGGCGTATCCTTATCCATTACTGGATATATGTCCCATTCAACCAGTAAATAGTAATTATACCAGACAAAAGCTCCCGCACTCCTGTAGATAGATAGATAGATAGACAGAGGTTTAGATATAAGTATAGATGGATAGATAGTTGGATAGACAACTTTAGATCTATTAATTACATTGAAATATATCCAAGGTTAGGTTAAAACAATGCTTTTAATTCTGCAGCAGGAGAAACAGACCCCCTGCTAATAGGGGTTCCTGGAGAACTTAGAGAGAGGAGAACCTTAAGAACCAGAGGAAACAAGAGAACCTAGAGCAACTTAAGAACTTATAACATGAAGAACCTGATAAAATCTGAGAATCAAAGGAACCTTAAAGAGAACTTAAATAACTGAAACCTGAAAACCCATAGAACCTGAATAATCTTGAAAACATAAAGCACCTAGAGAACCTAAACCTAGAGAACCTAAACCTAGAGAACCTTAACGTAGAGAACCTATACCTACAGAACCTAAACCTACATGACTTAAACTTAAAGAACCTAAACCTAGAGAACCTAAACCTAGAGAAACTAAACCAACAGAACCTAAACCTACAGAACCTAAACCTACAGAACCTAAACCTACAGAACCTAAACCTAGAGAACCTTAGCCTACAGAACTTAAACCTACAGAACTTAAACCTACAGAACCTAAACCTAGAGAACCTTAGCCTACAGAACCTAAACCTACAGAACCTAAACCTACAGAACCTAAACCTACAGAACCTAAACCTACTGAACCTAAACCTAGAGAACCTTAGCCTACAGAGCTTAAACCTACAGAACCTAAACCTACAGAACCTAAACCTAGAGAACCTTAGCCTACAGAGCTTAAACCTACAGAACCTAAGCCTACAGAACCTAAACCTACAGAACCTAAACCTACAGAACCTAAACCTACAGAACCTTAGCCTACAGAACTTAAACTTAAAGAACCTAAACCTAGACTACCTGAAGAACCTAGGAAACCTAAAGAACCTTGCGAGAACATGAAACACCTAAAGAACCCCCAGAACCAAAGAACCATGAGAACATGAAACACCTAGAGAACCTAAATCTAGAAAATCCGAACCTAGAGAACCTCAACCCAGAGCACCGTAAAATCTTTAGAACATGAAACACCTAGAGAACCTGAAGATTGAAGAACCTAAAACAAAGATCAAAAACTATGATAGCATGAAACATTCAGAGAACCTGAAGAACCCAGAGATTAGAACCTGAAGAAACTAGATAATCTGAAGAACCCGAGAAAAAAAAAAAACTAGAGAACCAGAAGAATCTTGAGAACATAAAACATCTAGAGGACCTAAGTCTAGAGAACCTGAACCTAGAGAACCCTAAGAATCTTAAGAATCAAGACAACCTAAACAGTCTAGAGAGTCTTAAAAATCTAAATAACCTGTAAAAAATGTAAAAACAAAACAAAAACTAGAGAACCTGGTGAAACTGGAGAACCTGGTGAAACTGGAGAACCTGGTGAAACTGGAGAACCTGGTGAAACTAGAGAACCTGGTGAAACTAGGTAACCTGGTGAAACTAGGGAACCTGGTGAAACTATAGAACCTGGTGAAACTAGGGAACCTGGTGAAACTGGAGAACCTAGAAAGCATAAAAGATCTAAAACACCTGAAAACCCAAAAGAACTTGAGGAACCAAGAGAATCTGAGAAAACTTAAGAACCTAAAATTGTAAGAAAATAAAAACTGAAGAAACTGAAGTATCCATGTAGAACCTAGAGAACCTATAGAACGTAATTAGTGAATAAAGTTAAAGAACCTAGAGAACCTAATAAACCTTCTGAAATCCTAATTCTTAAAAAAAATTATGAAAATTTTGATGTTTCTAAAAAGTTGTTTTGTTCTCACACAAACAAAGAAATATAATGAAAAGATGTAAAAAAATCAATAGTCACATGATCGCCAGCTGATATTCCAAATGATATTTATAGAAATACTAATTGTATTTCATAAAACCAAATATTTAAGAATCTAAAATGCACACAAGTTTGCAACAATATAAACTGGAAAACTGAAAAAGTTGAAAATCTACCAAATTATGTATCTCTCCCCCTGACTGTACGTATACCCGATTACATCACGTCTTATTAAATATTAGATACATCGGCCCACAGGAGGATATTTTAAACTTTCAAATTTTGTTAACTAACCAATCTACCTAATTTTACTAAAACTCTTCCCCCCCCCCATGTCCTCCCCTAACATACCCTGTAATTACACCCCTGGATTTAATGACTATAAAAGCATTAAATTGACCAGGGTTTCGGAGTCTTTAATTACTTTATCCAGAGCATTAAAGATGTCCTTCATTTTCATCTCCTCTCTATCTTTCTATCTCTTACAATCAGTTATTTAATCTGTCTAACAAACTCTAATTTTTATTATGAAGAATGAATTATTGGTGTACAGAAGGTATGTTTTTGAGATCAAAATGTTGTTTCAGTCATTTAATTGGTGAAAATGGTTAATACTCAATATCAGAGTTTTTATAGGAACACTATTTTCGATCTTCAGCAACAATTAACTTTTTAGCATATACATATATCACAGCGATTAGTTTTTTTCGGTTTTCATGTTTTTACTCTGGATTCTAGGAAGATGGCACAAACGGTTTAAATTTAACCAAAACTGGTTAATGCGCATATTTTCTAGCTACTTCAGGAGGCCGGCCAACTCAGCTATATAGGACTGCGCCATCTGAAGAGTTTCATATTTGGAAAGCTGATGTTGGGGACCTAGCCCTGGCAGTACACGACGTAACCGATCGAATCCACGGTTTAATAAATCCATTCTCCGCCTTTCTCGTGCATTTGCTGCAAGTCGTCTTCTGCGCATTTCCGATTCTGGTAGAGATTTAGAGGAATTCTTAAGAGATTCAGGACTATCTGCTTTATGATAGGTCAGATCGACTGGACAGGGGGATTGAACAAGGGTAGGAAATTCTTCTGGACTTCCTGGGGAAAATGTTGTCTCCAAGGAGTCTGTATCAGTGAAGGTAAAATCAGGGTAATCCTCTTCGCTGCAAAAAAGAGCTAAATTATCTTAAAGAAATATATAATTATCATATAAATGCAATAAATGTTACTTGGGTTCAAAAGTAATTTATTAAATTTATTATTTGTTACCTAAATTTGTGTGTTGATTCTGAAGTTTTAATATTTGTTCTTCCATGGTACTTTTCAATCCAACATTCTTCTGACAATTCTGTTGTGAGAATTTTATCCTGTAATTTGGACTTTTTGACTTTCAGCTCCGGTCCCTCCGACAATATATGCCTTTTTACAGCTGTTGTATGCATGGTTTTCTCTACTTGTGTGATCTTGAGAAAGGCTTCCTTGAAAACTGCCCCTCGGCTTACAATCTGAGTGACGAGGACTAACTAATGACCGAGGAAGGTTGTAATGTCTTGCAGAGCGGAGTTTAATTATGTCCTATCTGTCCGGCGGTTCCTTGATTACTGCGCTGGAAACTGTTTCGCGGGTTTGCTACCAGGCATTGAGCCGGCCACCCAAGATCTCTCAGTAGAGATCTCACCGCGGTATTCCCTTACACTGCTCACACAGCACCAGGGGTGATTTCAACGCAGCATGCAACGGTAGCGTTTCCTCAATATGCGGGAACTAAGGTTTAATCGTAGACTGGGAACCTCTTCTTTTTTCAACTCTTTTTTGGGTCAGCTGATATTTATTTTTTGAGTTTGATCAAATAGAAATGCATAATAGATTTATTTTGTTTAACGTTTTTTCTTGTTTATTGGGAATCAAATATAGAAATCTTCTTTCCGATGCTATACTGCTATACTGCTATATTGCATTACTGAACGTTTCAGATATTTTTTCTAAATTTGTTTACACGCATTTTTCTTTTTTATTGAAATGTCCGTAAGAATTATGTAATTTTCGACTGAACATTAAAAAATATCAGTTTTCAATATTAATATGAATTCTTTTCCCCTTTCTTAGATGAAAGATAGAATAAAGACGACAGTCATTTCACAGTTTCTGGTTATCGAGCTGTAGTATCTGATATGGTAAAAATAATCTCGGGACCTAAGAAAATTGGATGCCTTTAAAACAATTGCTAAAAACCCTCTTCTCTTTATCAAACGGTTTGCTGATTTTTCATGGGGTTAAATAAAATAAAACTATTCTGTCTTTATATCCTGTCAAATACTCCTTTTAATCAACAACCTTTTTTATCTGAACAATTAATTAATTGTCCCCGACCCTTTCTGTTGGACCGTATAGACCCTAATTATGGGTTGATGGCCCATCTTTAGTACTCTCTATACAACACAAGGACGTGTCTTTTAACCAACCGTTTACTATTCTTTATACTGTCAATATTAAACCCAGTAGCTAGGGGAATATGGGAACTATTCCCAGTAGATAGGGGAATATGGGAACTATACCCAGTAGCTAGGGGAATATGGGAACTATACCCAGTAGAGGAACATGGTAACTATACCCAATAGCTTGTGAAACATGGGAAGGGGAACTATAACCAGTAGCTAGGGTAACATGGGAACTATTCCCGGTAGCTAGGGAAACATGGGAACTATACCTAGTAGCAAGAGGAACATAGGAACTATACCCGGTAGCTAGGGGAACATGGGAACTATACCCAGTAGCAAGAGGAACATGGAAACTATACCCAGTAGCAAGAGGAACATGGGAACTACACCTAGTAGCTAGAGGAACAAGGGAACTATACCCAGTCGCTAGGGAAACATGGGAACTATACCCGGTAGCTAGGGAAACATTGGAACTATACCCAGTAGCTAGGTGAACATGGGAACTATGCCCAGTAGCTAGGGGAAAATGGGAACTATACCCGGTAGCTAGGGAAACATGGGAACTATTCCCAGTAGCTAGGGGAACATGGGAACTATACCCAGGAGCTAGGGGAAAATGGGAACTATACCCAGTAGCTAGGGGAACATGGGAACTACACCTAGTAGCTAGAGGAACATGGGAACTATACTCGGTAGCTAGGGGAACATGGAAACTACACCTAGTAGCTAGGGGAACATTGGAACTATACCCAGTAGCGAGGGGAATATGGGATCTATACCCAGTAGATAGGGGAACATGGGAACTATACCCAGTAGCTAGAAGAACATGGGAACTATACCCGGTAGCTAGAGGATCATGGGAACTATACCCAGTAGCTAGGGGAACTTGGGAACTATACCCAGTAGCTAGAGGATCATGGGAACTATACCCAGTAGCTAGAGGAATATGGGAACGTAGTAGGTAGGGGAGTTACTAGCGAAACGTTTTGGTCGCGTATGAAAACTAAGTGACTACAAGGTTTATAATTTTCGGTGGTCATCTAAGCCTATATACGGTACTTGAGAAATTTCAAACTATGGTTCTCTAATTGTTGAAAAGACACGGGTTTAAATCACTGACGTACTTTTAAACTTTCAGATAGAAAATATACTTTAAAAACAGGATTGGAAGATTTGAAGTGTAGTGATTTACGGGATTAAACTTCTAATAAGGAATGAAGGATTAAAGTATACTGTTCTACGGGATTAAACTCCTAATAAGGAATATAGGATTAAAGTATACTGTTCTACGGGATTAAACTCCAAATATTGAATAAAGGATTAAAGTATACTGTTCTACGGGATTAAACTCCTAATAAGGAATATAGGATTAAAGTACACTGTTCTACGGGATTAAACTCCTAATAATGAATAAAGGATTAAGGTACACTGTTCTGTGATACTAAACTCCTAAAAAGGAATATAGGATTAAAGTATACTGTTCTACGGGATTAAACTCCTAATATTGAATAAAGGATTAAACTATACTGTTCTACGGGATTAAACTGCTAATAATGAATAAAGGATTAAGGTACACTGTTCTGTGATACTAAACTCCCAATAAGGAATAATGGATTAAAGTATACTGTTCTATGGGATTAAACTCCTAATAAGGAATAAAGGATTGAAGTATACTTTACCAAGTATACTGATCTACGGAATTAACCATATTCACTCTGACGTCTGGCTTCATGACTGGTTTCCTGGGGGGTCAAATCGATCCCCCCTCTATTTTCTCATTGTGACACAAATCTTTAACATTTGATGATTTTAGAAAGCCCTTGGGCTTTACTTCAATAATCTGCAAAAATGGCAAATTTGTAAAAATCTAATTTTTGCGAAATCTAGTGATTAAGCAAAAAATGTTCAAAAACAAAAATTCCGCAAATTGCAACAAATTATTCATTTTTAAAAAGCCCTTGACCCAGCGAACTCAAATCTGCAAAAACATTTTCAAAATTTTTAAAACCTAAGTGTGTATTCAAGAAAAACTTTTAATGTGCAAATTCCCTTGAAAGGCGTCTGTGCAAAAATCTGTGCAAAATTTCTTTTCAAAAATTGTGCAATCTGAATGCTTTTGTTAAAGGCTTTCCAAAGAGCTATAAAATGTTGAAATCCAATGACTGGAAGTAGGTCTAACTATAGATTTAGTCTGGTATAGGTAAAATAAGGCATTTAGGCAGTATGCCTGAGGACTCAGACAGTAGGTATAAAAGCCCAGCTTTTAGCCTTAAGTGATAGGCATGTGTTAGTTAGAAAAGGCAGAAAATTTGAGCTTCCTGGCTCAAATACTTTTTGAGTAATTGCAAAATAAACGATAGTCAAACTACCCCCCCCCCACAGAGTAAATAGGGACTCCTAATAATGAATAAAGGATTAAAGTATTCTGTACTATGGAATTAAACTCCTAATAATGAATAAAGGATTAAAGTATACTGTACTATGGGATTAAACTCCTAATAAGGAATAAAGGATTAAAGTATACTGTTCTACGGGATTAAACTCCTAATAATGAATAAAGGATTAAAGTATACTATGGAATTAAACTCCTAATAATGAATAAAGGATTAAAGTATACTGTACTATGGGATTAAACTCCTAATAAGGAATAAAGGATTAAAGTATACTGTTCTACGGGATTAAACTCCTAATAATGAATAAAGGATTAAAGTATACTGTTCTATGGAATTAAACTCCTAATAATGAATATAGGATTAAAGTATTCTGTTCTATGGAATAAAACTCCTAATAATGAATAAAGGATTAAAGTATACTGTTCTACGGGATTAAACTCGTACTAATGAATAAAGGATTAAAATATTTTTTACTATGGAATAAAACTCCTAATAATGAATATAGGATTAAAGTATACTGTACTATGGAATTAAACTCCTAATAATGAATAAAGGATTAAAGTATACTGTTCTACGGGATTAAACTCCTAATAATGAATAAAGGATTAAAGTATTCTTTACTATGGAATTAAACTCCTAATAATGAATAAAGAATTAAACTTGGAATAAAGTATTGAACTGCTAAAATAATGATTACAGGACTGAATCTTGATGTTATCTATATGCAGGAGCCCGGTGCCTCACTACACTGCTTCTGTTTCTGTTTTATTGAACCAATTAAATAAAAAGCAAGATGTCTACAACCTGCTCTTGAGGTAGGGCTGGGCGTCGTTAATGAGCAACTATCAATTTTTTTTAACGAACTGGATTTCCTGTTAACGACCACATTGTTTGGAAAATTCTTTCAGCAACGGTACGATCATAAGTTTACAAAGAATTTGGAAAAAAACGAATGTTAAACAAACGCTCCAAACGAAATGACCGGTTTTCAAAAATCAAGAGTTTGCCCCGTCCTAGCTCAGAACAATTAATACACACTCGTAAATATAATTTTCTGAGACTAGTTTATTTACAGAGTTAACCACCAAGTATGAGCCTATACAAAGACAAACTGGACAATTTTAAAACATCAAAATTTAAACTTAAATATATCGTTTACAATTAACAATAAATGTAACATTACCGACAGTGAATCAGGTAAGTCCATCTCTAAATGGAAGGTTTCTTGAAATTACAACTTCTGTCAGCTTTAATAAGGAATATTTACAACACTTTCTTGCAGTCGTCTCTAATGTCGCAACTTTTGTGAACAATCTATAATGTATCAAAACCTATACAAAGTTTGTGTCTCAATTTCTCAAATGGTCTCAATTTAGCTTTTACAGGTATTAATTGATAATATCAAAATAATTACACTGTATGTCAAAAAATTCAAATCTGTGACGAATTTACATAAAAATCATTATCACTTAACTTAAAAAAAGAGTTACAGGACAAAGCAAACTTTCTAAATCGTCTGATAATAATGCCTATTTTTAAAATACAGGTGCGTACTCTTCTATTAATTAATTTAAACCAGGGAATAGGATTAAAGGGAAAGAAAATGGTGCTGGTCTGGCAAGAGAAAGCCAGTCGCACTGCTTTGCAGACCAGTACGGTAACCTTACACACACTCTTTTGGTACAGACACACATGACTACAGTCAAGGAAATTGCAGAACAATGTTGTCAATTATAATTAAATTTGAATAACAAGTAGTT